CTTCATAATTGTGACCGGATCTGTGAAAAGGGACCTCATCTCTCGGATACATTTTTCTGAAACTTTGAACTTTGCGCGAAGAAGCGATCACGGGAAGCGCCTGCAAAACTGTCGGGATACTTCACACAGGTCCGTTTTTACAGATCAGGTCACAATTATGAAGCAACGAAGCTTGATCGTGCGATGTTTGAAGTATCCCGACAGTTTTGCAGGCGCTTCCCGTGATCGCTTCTTCGCGCAAAGTTCAAAGTTTCAGAAAAATGTATCCGAGAGATGAGGTCCCTTTCCACAGATCCGGTCACAATTATGAAGTAACGAAGCTTGATCGTGCGATGTTTGAAGTATCCTGACAGTTTTGCAGGCGCTTCCCGTGATCGGTTTTCGTGGAAAGTTCAAAGTTTCAGAAAAACGTTTCCAAGAGATGAGGTCCCTTTTCACAGATCCGGTCACAATTATGAAGCAACGAAGCTTCCTCGCATATCCACAACAATAACGATGAGTTCGGTCTCTTTCCCGCTGACTCAGAGGTTTAACACGGAGTCGGAAAGTTGGATGGGCATTGGCGGATCCAGCAATTTTTCAACACCGGATTTTCTCCATTCAAACCTATGGAAATGTATCGATTCTTAGAAGGGCTAGGTGCTCCGACAGGAATCGATTATATAGCGTAGGTTTAAATGGAGGAAATCTGGTGTTGCCAAATTTTAGGGTCCACCTCTGTGGATGGGACAAAACGCGTGACGCAACCATTTCGATTTCCAAGAGGGTAAAAGTGAATCGATCGATCGCAAAATGGCTCAAGGGCCAGTTATAAAAATACGAAAAAACAGTTGAATCTATATTAAGCAACCCGTTTTAAATTGCAAATTAATGAATAATGTGATTAATTAATTCATTGCGTTAATTTTTTAGAGCTGTGAGATTTGTAAGGGGTCAGTTAAAACGGTGATTATACCGAAATTCTCCTTATAGGCGCTTGAGCTCTTTTGTAACTGACTGATTCACTTGCTTATTCACGCAATGAAGATGACCCCCTCCCCTCCGCTGACTCAAGAGACTTCAACGCAGGAGTACAAAAGTTGGACGCGTGATACAACTATTTCGACTTCCAAGGTGATGAAATTGCATATCGACAAAATGAAGGAAAATAGCCGGTGTCAGACTATCAAAATACTCCTCCAAAATGTCAAGGTCAAGTGCTGTGATTGGTCCACGTAATCGAATAAGCCAATCACAACACCTGACCTTGATATTTTAATGGCTAGCTTTGATAATGTGACACTACTGGCTGATCTCCTCTCGGCTGACTTCAAAGACTTTAACGCAGGAGTAAAAAAGTTGGACGCGTGATACTAACTATTTCGACTTCCAAGGTGATGAAATTGCATATCGACGAAATGAAGGAGAATCTCTCCTCGGCTGACCCAAAGACTTTAACGCAGGAGTAGAAAAGTTGGATGGATCAAGAGCAGAGACCGAGACTAGATATCGGGTTTCGCTGCAAGCTCGGTGAGACGCCGCGATGCGTAAGGTATACTGCCGTGCTAAGGAGGAACACTGTATGAACATTGGAGAGTTTCCCCAATTTCCTTTGAAAAAAAGTTTATTTTTAAGGAAAATTATGAATATTTTCCCTTGAAGTTTTCAGGAACTTTAGATCAAAATTATCTGAAAAATGGGGAGGAAAATATTCGCAAGTTTACAGGGACATTCTGTTTTATCAAAGACAATTTGGCAACGCCTGAAGGTTCATACGGCGTTTTTCCTTAGCACGGCAGTATACTTACAGTTTTGCAGACCCTCCGCGATCGTTTCACGCGCAAAGCTCAAAGTTTCGGAATCAGAATTACATACCTACCATCAGGGCCGGATTTACCTACTTGCCGAGCATGAGCCGCCTGTATTTTGCCACCCCTTCTCATTCGTTCTGAAACATCAATAAAAGCCATTAAGTGAACGTGCCAGCGGGGAAGGGGTGCATGAGACGCGTTTACTCGTGTTGGACACATTTTTCGGGAGAGCCCTGTCAACACCCCTAGCAAAAATTCACCGAACTTTGCGCGAAAGTTAAGTTTCGTAAACCTATGGCTGTGTGAACAAGGCCTTCCAAACGGACGAAAAAATTATGAAAGAACAAACATAAATGTGGTTTAATGAGTTTAACTTCCGCCACCGCGCCGCGCAGACTGCACCGTGTCGCAATGCGTGAAGTATTCCGACAGTTTTGGAGGCGCTCTGAGTTTCACGCCGACCGCTGTTGACCGCACTGTGTTTGATGCAATGCGTGAAGTATTCGTGTAGTCTTGTAGGCGCTAATATGTGTTACATGCCGATCGCCGCGCCGAGGGCTTCTCCTTTTCATCTCGAGTCCTCGTCATCATTTCTCTCTCGGTCGAGCCGTTCCAGGCCAAATTGCGTGTTTGGTTTCTCTCTTAACTCGACTAATTAAAGGTGCTGTCTCTTGTATCACTGGAAGAGGACAAAATTAGAAATTACTTTATTCTCAGGAAATTAGAGATTTTGTCGCCTTTTCTCGTTTGTAATTGTTTTTCTAAATCCGATTTTTTTTCATACTTACATTTAAAAAAATTGCAAAATTTGCCGGCACCTAGATTTGCCACCATGGGCCGCAGCCCATGTGGCCACCCCCTTAATCCGGCCCTGCCTACCATACGTAGAAACTTTTGTGTGTATTTTTTGCGATATGTTTTAAACTGACGCAGCCCTTCTAAGGTAGAGCTTATAGTGTCCACGAAGGATAGGCCTTTAGAGGAAATTAGACTTCAATTTTTTCCGTAGCACTAGGCGGCGTCTTATAACCCGGCCCTATGTTCATTGTTCAACCTCATTTTTCACACGTTCAATTTTTCTAAGATATACCTACGACTAATACGACTATAGCTTGTGAGAGGAGCGTGTTATCATGGCATTAAGTTCTTCTAGACGCGCGTGGAGTGAGAATGATAATAATTGAAAGGACGTACGGTGAACGCCTATTACCTCCTACACGCTGTGCTCTTTCTCATGACAGGTCCATCATTAATACCTCGCAAATGTCCGTGCATTGCCGCGAGATGGAAAAGGAAAGCTAACAAGTTTGCTCAAGTTTTTTTTCCCCTGAATCTGTAAAACCAATCCAGCCGCATATTTCAAAGCCCAAGAATTTTCTTTCTTTCATTTTTTTCTTTTTTCTTATTTTCTTTTTTTTTCTCTTTTTAAATTAACAAGGTAAATCTACAATCTGAGGTTGGCAGATGAACCATTATTGTGGTCGGTAAAAAGTTTTATTTTTCTGAGCCGTAGGGATTGTATACCTACATACATCTTTATAACACGTGAAAGGGTAAATAGCGGGAGGACGGTGTTAAATTGTGCTTTAAACTAATAGCGGCGCATGTTAGGTTTCAATAAATTGCGATTTCATGGGAAACAGAGGCGGATCCAGCAACTTGGCAACATTGTTTTTCTCCTTTTAAACCTATGGAAATGTATCGATTTTTGGAGGGGCCAGGTGCTCCGGCATGAATCGATTATTTAACATAGGTTCAATAGGAGGAAACCCGGTGTTGCCAAATTGCTAGATCCGCCAATGATGGGAAAGTTACTGCAATCAGATCGGAGTGATGCGTATGTTGTCTATTCTCCATTTGAAGAGACTCCTCTTTTTAAAATTTTATTCAATTAAAATCGCGATATAATCGCGTCTTTTTTTCGATAAGGTGCACTATTTTGTATTGCAAAATGCCTACTGCCTTACACGTAGAACCGTTTGATCGTTTACAATGGGAAGTTATTAACCAAAGGATGTAATGATAATGCAATTTAAATGACAAAAAATTGCAATTTTTTCCATTAACTTGTACCACTCTTTTAAATTTCCATTGCTCTATACCCCTTGGGAACGATATTATTATATTTGTGACAATCTCATGTTTAATTTATCTATTAAAGTATTCTTTTCTTCCTTTTGCAGTAATTATGTTGTGGTCTCTCCAAAATTCGTCAAGGCTGAGTACGAAGACTGAGAATTTTCACTTGGCATCAGAATTGTTCCTGAATTCACGGATCATCGCTTCATCACGGTAAAATCTCTCCAACTCCTTCCTGCTCTCAGAATTAGGTAATTGCGAACGAATCGACCATTTGTCTATACTCTCAATTTTTCAAAGTGAGATGGTACAGTATTCTTCCTCACCACTGATACAAGCAGTCACCATTTGGGTGGATTTTAGTCATATCAGTCTAACTTCATTCCACGTTGCCTATAATTGAATCTCTCAGTTCGAAAACTACTGAACTCTGCACGGTGCTCCTGAGGGGGGTTTAAATCGAAGTTCGTCATGAACGAAAAATTTGAGCTGGAATGTCAAGAGGAGGACTCCCAGACACTAAAAACTACAATTTCGAAACAGGTTGTTGGAGCTCCTGGAGAAATAATCGCGATTTTATGAGTTTTTTAGGCTCTTTTTGGAAAAAATTAGGGATTTGACCATAAAATGATGGCGTTTGGGCGGGATATTTTGCAGAATTTTCTTTATTTATGAGTAACTATACCTTATGTTTTAATAATGTATCCATTCGAAACGGCAAGATTGCCTTTATTGCCGTTTTAATAATTTTTCCCGGATAAATGTTCATCCTGCTGCAACTGCAAAGTTTTTTATTCGCTTTAGCAGCGTCTGGAGGATCATGGAGATTACCTTGTCTTAAATTTTTGTTGTGTTCAATTTTTTCTCTGGAAAATGGAGCTGCCAGTATCCCCGTTCATTTTAAATGTAAGTTCTTCACTTTTAAATCATTGCTCAGAAGCATGTAAATTATACGTCCATTTTCTCTCACCAAACTATTATTTTCTTCTGAATGAAGCGTCCTGGATTTGGGCTCTCCAATTCCTCTGCGAACGGGACACGAGTCCCGGGCCTTCAATTCTGAGTTTTTCTTCTTCTTCTTCTTCTTCTGTTAAATATACATATGTTTACTTTACAATTATCCTTGAAAAGGTGGGTTTTAGTTTTTCCTCTAGTAATGCAACCCTAGGGATTTTCTCATGCTGAAGAGTCCTGGACTCGGGCTCTCCAATCCCGCTGCGAACGGAAGACGAGTCCCGGACCTTCAATTCTGATTTTCCTTTTTTTCCCTATAAAACAGACATATCGACGGTGAAACTACCAAACCACGTATCTCGTTTGCGGTGTTTAATAATCTACGCTCACATTTTATTTTTTTGAAGTAGACCAAATCAATATCATTCCTTGAAATTTTCACGGAATTTTCTCCGCACAAAGAGAAAAAATCACAGAAATTTTCAAGACTGGATGTTAAGTAGTTTTTCATTTAAAAAATAAAGTATGACAGGAAGTCTGCGACGTCGCAAACCGAGATACGTGGTTTGGTAGTTTCACCGTCGATATGCATACTTTCCAATCACCCTTGAAAAGGTGAATTTTAGTTTTTCCATTAGTTATAAATTTCTGGGGTTTTTCTCACGTTAAGTGTCCTGGACTCGGGCTCTCCTATCCCGCTGCGAACGGAAGACGAGTCCTGGACCTTCAATTCTGATTTTCCTTTTTTTTCCCTGTAAAACAGACATATGTATACTTTCCAATTATCCTTGAAAAGGTGAATTTTAGTTTTTCCATCAGTTATAAATTTCTGGGGTTTTTCTCACGTTAAGTGTCCTGGACTCGGGCTCTCCTATCCCGCTGCGAACGGAAGACGAGTCCTGGACCTTCAATTCTGATTTTCCTTTTTTTTCCCTGTAAAACAGACATATGTATACTTTCCAATTATCCTTGAAAAGGTGAATTTTAGTTTTTCCATTAGTTATAAATTTCTGGGGTTTTTCTCACGTTAAGTGTCCTGGACTCGGGCTCTCCTATCCCGCTGCGAACGGAAGACGAGTCCTGGACCTTCAATTCTGATTTTCCTTTTTTTTCCCTGTAAAACAGACATATGTATACTTTCCAATTATCCTTGAAAAGGTGAATTTTAGTTTTTCCATTAGTTATAAATTTCTGGGGTTTTTCTCACGTTAAGTGTCCTGGACTCGGGCTCTCCAATCCCGCTGCGAACGGAAGACGAGTCCCGGACCCTCAATTCTGATTTTCCTTTTTTTCCCCTGTAAAACAGACATATGTATACTTTCCAATTATCCTTGAAAAGGTGAATTTTAGTTTTTCCATTAGTTATAAATCTCTGGGGTTTTTCTCATGTTAGGTGTCCTGGACTCGGGCTCTCCAATCCCGCTGCGAACGGAAGACGAGTCCCGGACCTTCAATCAAGATTTTTTGTGTAAAATATACATAAAATTACCATTCATCTTTGAATGGGTGGGTTTTAGTTTTCCTCTTGTACAAAAACCTATCTCCATGATCCTCCAGACGCTGCTAAAGGGAATGAAAAACCCGGCATTTGCAGTTGCAGCAGGATGAAGTACATTCGTCCGGAAAAAAGTTATTAAAACGGCAACGAGGCAATCTTACAGTTTCGAGTGGATAAATTATTTAAACATTTGTTGTAAAAACTCATACGTAAAGAAAATTCTGCAAAATTTCCCGCCCAAGCGCCATCATTCTATGGTGAAATCTCTAATTTTGAAGTTTGAAACTTTGCAACGTCGTATAATGGGAGCAAAAAAATTTTCTCGGTCATGAAAATTTTAGGAATGTCGCACCTCAGACGAGAAAACAACATACATACTAAACATTTAGATCAATTCACCGAGAAATGGGCCCATGCCATCGTCCTACCTCCAAACCCAACATGTTATAGTTTAAAACTTTTGCATCGTTGCAACGAGAGGAAAAAAAATCTTCGGTCACTTGAATTGGCTACTGGATTTTCTGGGGATCATATTGACTTTATTATATATTATTTAATAAGGAATTACTATTTGTGGCTCATTTATGAATGCACTTATCTGTGTAGAAAAAATCAAAGTGGGGGAGAAGGAGGAGCAAAGAAAGAAAGAAAGAAAGAAGAAGAGGAAAAAGAATGGAAAGAGGAGGAAGAAAGAGACAGAAGAAAGAGAGAAGAACGGGAAGAATAAAGAGGATAATAGGAAGAAGAGAGAGAAGAATAAGAAGAAGAGAGATAAGAATAGGAAGAAGAGAGATAAGAATAGGAAGAGGAGAGAGAAGAATAGGAAGAAGAGAGATAAGAATAGGAAGAGGAGAGAGAAGAATAGGAAGAGAAGAGGAAGGAAATCAGGGAGAAGCGAGATAAGATAGGAGAGAGAGGAGCATTGAAAAGATATAAAAGAAAGGAGAACACGACATAGTGAGAGAAGACAATGATGGGAGAGGAGGCGAGAGAGAAGGGGAAAAGAAAGGGAGAGAAAAGAGGGGAGGGAAGAAGAGAGGAGAATAGAAAGAGGAGGAAAATTATAAAGATAATGAGGAAGAAGAGAATACAGAAGGAAGGAAAAGAGAGAAAAGAGAGAGGGAAGAAGAGGAGAAAGGTAAAAGAGAGTAAAATAAGGAAAATAAGTAAACGAGAAAGAAGGTGAGCAAGAGTGGGGGAAAGACTAGAGGAAGAGGAAGTAAAAATGTAAGAGGAACTAGAAGAGAGAAACGATGAAAAACGAAAATAGCGAGGGGAGGGAGTGTGGGACGAAAAGGAAGATAAAGAAGAAAAAGAAGCATACATTCTGCATAAGAACATTAATGGCACTTGCGCTGTTCTAAAAATGAGCCCTAAATATTAATTCCTCATTGCAAAATAGTCTTACACAATTAGGAATGAATTTTTTTTTCTTTTTTTATTTTTTTTTTTATTTTTTGGTGTCACGTTATCAAAAAGATATCAGTTTTTTAATTTCTGAGCGGCAGGGATGTATCTAACATATGACTGTTAGACTACTAAACCGCGTAGGTATCTCATTTCGATTGTATGAAGTCATCTGAATGGATGGGAGTTATTGGTGAAAGAGGGGTGAATAGAGTCATCTTGAGTGTTGTACATTCGGGAAATCAAGAAAATTAGAATGGAATTTGTCAATATTACCTTCATTTTACATTCCATCGATTATCTTCATTTCGTTCCTCTTTTTCGTAGTAGTAATGATAGTTGCATCCTTGTTAAATACTTTTTATTCCATAGCAATAAATTATTTCATTGATAAAATTTTTGTTCTGTGGCTGAAATGCTCCTTTCTCAAACATAAAAGAAATTTTGCAACGCTGGGCCTCCAAAGATTTGCCATTGATTCCGTGTCTTCTTGCATCAAAACACTTTATCAATTGAGTGAGATTTATTCTGCTAGAGAAGAAAAAGAGAGAAGAAAAGAGAGAAGAAAAGAGAGAGGAAAAGAGAGAAGAAAAGAGAGAAGAAAAGAGAGAGGAAAAAAGAGAAGAAAAGAGAGAAGAAAAGAGAGAAGAAAAGAGAGAAGAAAAGGGAGAAGAAAAGGGAGAAGAAAAGGGAGAAGAAAAGGGAGAAGAAAAGGGAGAAGAAAAGGGAGAAGAAAAGGGAGAAGAAAAGGGAGAAGAAAAGGGAGAAGGTAAGGGAGAATATAAGGGAGAAGAAAAGAGAAAGGAAAGCATGAAGAAAAGAGAAAAGAAAAAAGAAAGAATAGCATGAAGAGAAAGAAGAGCAGGAAGAAAAGAGAAAGAAGAGCAGGAAGGAAAGAGAGAAAAGAGCAGGAAGAAAAGAGAGAGAAGAGCAGGAAGAAAAGAGAGAGAAGAGCAGGAAGAAAATAGAGAGAATAGCAGGAAGAAAATGGAGAGAATAGCAGGAAGAAAATAGAGAGAATAGCAGGAAGAAAATAGGAAGAAAGAAAAAGAAAATGGGAAGAAAGAAAAAGAAAATAGGAAGAAAAGAGAAAGAAGAGCAGGAAGGAAAGAGAGAGAAGAGCAGGAAGAAAAGAGAGAGAAGAGCAGGAAGAAAATAGAGAGAATAGCAGGAAGAAATAGGAAGAGAAGAAAAAGAAGAGAAGAGATAGAAGAGAAGAGAGAAAAAGAAAAGAAAGGAGAACAAAAAAAGAACAAAAATTCAATTAATTTTCGTACTTTACTTTCAGTCCCTCCCCCTCCCAAATAGAGAGTGGTCTTGGGGATTTTAAATATTCTAGCGTCCAGTTTTATTAGAACGGGGGGCGTACGCTACCGCAGCTTTTGGTTCGGGGTCGCAGTAGTGCTTGCACTTCCGTTGGACGGTCGGCAGCCATGGCATCCTTTGAAGGCCGAAACCAATGACCCAGGACCCGGGTGCACGGCAAGGCTTGAGGGCGGTAGAGGAAACCCCTGCGGCAGATAAAAAATGTCTGAGTTGGCAGGGGTCTATAATGACGGGACGAATAATTAAAACCTCTTCGTCCTCTCTGTTTTTTTCTTTCAGTTTTCGTTAAAGTGAGGATTGGTATAGGTCTAATGGGTAACGAACTATTTTTTTAACTTTTCTTGATAATTCAAACGCACAACACTCACGAAAATCCTATT